AATCGTGATGACGCTTTGGCTACCGAGATTTCGACAACAAAAACGTCAAGTTAATTCATACGAAAGCGATACGGGAAAAAGATCGATCAAGAAGCTTTTGCGTTCGATCAATGTCCCATTGTTGACATGAAAAATTGCTGAACAGGACATATGTAAAGCAGGCTGTAGTTTGTGAGAAACATCTTCTCTAAGATGAGTTTATACCATAGCAGAGAACTCACTCCTATCCAAGCAATTGTAAAAAATACATTGGGTTACTTATCAAATGGGAATACTGAGTTGTGAAGGATAAAAGAGAGTCAACTCTCACATACGCTTAGTAATGATGGACTAGCACTTAAAAAGACAAACGACTGGTTACGTACAACTAGCCAAGAAACAAGTAGAAAGGTTGCTTGTGTAACACATGAGTAGTAGAAGATTCCACTTAACAAATTCGTTAAGCTAGGTTCTATTTCTGTAATGGACATCTCGCCTAGAAATGCATTCTAGTCTGCAGTACATTTTATCGCTACGCACTAGTATGTGCAAACATGCAGCGACAATAATATCTTCCATACATTCTCAGGTGGATCACAGTTTTTCTTAGCCATTGATGTCTCACGCATCAAATCCTGCGACTCTTTAAGATCCAACAGGAGATCCGTTTTAACAGGTTCTATAGAAGTGCACAATTGAATACTAATATATTATAGAGGTCGTGTGCTCCACAAGATCTGAGCAAAATTGCATCATATCCAGCATAGAACTTTGCAAGCTATTAATTTATACAGTCCATTTTGAAACCATTTTGATTTGCTATTTCTCTTATCTACCAATCGATGTTCACTTTGATACTACCGTTGATCTTCGATAATGTCCGCTGCGTCTCCACCAGCCAAAAAGAGCTGCCTCTGACGTGTCTTGTAATGTATCAAATTGGTCAGTCATTCTCCCTTTGAATAAACGTCGTCGAAGAAGCGCCCGGCCTAAAGAAGGAAAGAAAACAATAAGCATGAGCAAATTAAATAGTGAATTGTTGTCCCAAGCAGTGGATGATATTTTGGCGTTTTCAGCTGGTGAGACAGTAACAATCAATGGAAATGAGCTCAAGGGTAAAAAGCGTAACTTTAACGAAACCATTGAGCTTCAGATTGCACTCAAGAACTATGATCCACAAAAGGACAAACGTTTCAGTGGTACATTCAAGCTACCGACCGTACCACGTCCGAATATGAAGATTTGTGTCTTGGGGAATGCTGTACACTGTGAAATGGCAGAGAAAGAAGGGTTTGAGTACATGACAGTGGATGATCTGAAAAAATTCAACAAGAACAAGAAGGTCATTAAGAAATTTGCGAAAAAGTACGATGCCTTTCTTGCTTCCGACACGTTAATCAAGCAAATTCCACGTCTATTAGGTCCTGGACTTAACAAGGCTGGTAAATTCCCTACCCTTGTGACATCAAATGATTCGTTGACGGAGAAGGCAGATCAAGTACGTGCTACCATTAAGTTCCAGATGAAGAAAGTTATGTGCTTGAATGTTGCTATTGGCCACATTGCTCTTGAGAAGCAGCAGATTGTAGTAAACACGCAATTGGCGGCAAACTTTTTGGCGTCATTGCTGAAGAAGAACTGGCAAAATATCAAGGTGCTGTACCTCAAGTCGACCATGGGCCCCCCTGTACAGATCTTCTTTTAGATTGCTGTTTGGCAACAATACCTCCTCGTGGACCTTTTGACATTCGTCGAAAGTATCACAACGTCTCACCAATATGCTGTCTATAGCGTTTTGGAAGCTGCTTCGACTCTGATAACAATTTGAAGGGATTTTTATCGCGACCATACACTTGTGTTGTTCTTTCTATTTGCTTGTGTATGTCATTGTCAATAGAATAGATCAGGCGCAAAGAACGTCTGTACTTGTGCAATTGAGATCACGAGATAGTTATGGTGCGTAAAAAGCCACGTATATCACATTTGCATACGTGAAAAACACACTACACTATGCAGCAGCATCAGTTCCTTCATCTGCACTGACCTCATGCTGATCCATCGCATTTACCTCTAGAAACACAGCATCGCCGTCTGTTTAGAAGTTAATGGACTTGTCAAAAGTGGCCAAACAGGCTTCCTTGAATGCCTCGCTCAACGTCGGGTGGGCGTGACACGTGCGTGCCAAGTCCTCGCTCGCAGCACCGTACTCAATGCCGATCACACCCTCTGAGATCATTTCACCGGCGTTGCTGGCGATAATGTGCACACCAAGCAACTTGTCCGTCTTCTTGTCGGCAAGCACTTTCACCATACCGTCGGCCTCGGCCACCGTGCGAGCACGACTGTTTGCCATCATCGGGAACTTGCCAACGTTGTACTCGACGCCTTCAGCCTTTAGCTCCTCCTCCGTCTTACCCACGGAAGCAAACTCTGGGAACGTGTAGATCACACCAGGAATGGCACCGTAGTTCACGTGTCCGTGCTTACCAGCAATGTTCTCCACGCAAGCAATACCCTCTTCCTCAGCCTTGTGCGCTAGCATAGCGCCCTGGATCACATCACCAATAGCAAAGATACCAGGAACTTGTGTCCGAAAAGCGTGATCGACTTCAATGCGACCAAGCTTATCAGTCTGTATACCCATCTGTTCTAGTCCAAGACCAGCCGTAAATGCACGACGACCTGTTGCTACAAGCACAGTATCACACTCCATCGTCAAAGCATCTCCACCTTTCGAGGGCTCCATCGTAAGCTTCACGACATCACCATTTACCTCGGAAGCCGTCACCTTGGTTCCAAATTGAAATTCTAGACCTTGCTTCTTCAACAGCTTAATAAACTCTTTCACAGATTCTTTATCCATGCCAGTACAGGCAGTATCCAGAAACTCAACCACCGTAACCTTCGATCCTAAGCGTTTGTAGACAGATCCAAGCTCTAATCCAATAACACCCGCACCAATAACAACCATGTGTTTTGGGACACGAGTTAGTGCTAACGCACCCGTTGAGTCAATAATTTTCCCACTCGAATTATCCACCGGAACAGGTGGTAATGGAGTTACTTCAGAGCCCGTAGCAATAATAATATTCTTGGCTTTGACGGTTTCATTGCTCTTTTTGTCATTCAATGTCACGGAAATTTTACCTTGAGCTGAAATTTTACCAAATCCTTTGATATAAGTCACTTTATTCTTGGTAAAAAGACTTTCAATGCCACCTGTTAACATTCGAACAGCTTTTTCCTTGGCTTTCATCATTTGAGGAAAATTAGCCGTTACATTTGGTGCATCAATGCCATAATTTTTAAACTCATGTTGAGCTGTATGCAATAAATGAGTCGAATGTAATAGTGCTTTAGATGGAATACAACCAACATTTAAACATGTACCACCTAATTTTCCACGGGATTCAATACAGGCAGTTTTAAAACCTAATTGTGCTGCTTTAATTGCTGCGACGTAGCCACCTGGACCACCACCAATTACAACAATATCATACTCTGATGATGATGTCGAGGATAAACCACGGACATACACGGAAGAACGCGTCGAACGACGTAAGATCGTTACCAAGTTGCGCAACATTATGAATGATGGTAAAAATTGACTGGTCACGGGAGAAAATAGAATAATGTCTATTAATAGAATTTGCGGCTAAGACGAGATCGTACTTTGACGGAACATTGGACGTCATTGGATAATAGTTGGCTGATTATAGTCATGCTGTGATTGGATGCGCGGATCTTTGGTGTGGTGTGGTGGATTGTACACAATAGTGACAAACGAGACGGTTACTCGATTTTTGATGATGGACTTGTCATTGACTGACTACAATGATACAAGTTTTACTTAATCACAGTCGCTACTGTTTTTTTACAGTATCTTGATATGCAACAATTGGATAATGCTTTGACAAGCTAAGCGGTAGCTGGATCGAGTTAATAGCTGAGTCAGTAGATGTGGATGTATATATTTACATTGATTAATTATTTTACCATGACCTCGGATTACCGATATAACTGGCGCAATAGACCGTCAGTTTATGCTGCTTGTTATGGCAATACGGGATCATATGACGTAGCTAGATGTGGTAATATTTATGCAACACAAGCTCGCACGATGAGGAAGACAACGTCTCATGATTCTCGATGTATTTAAATGATGTCGCATAAGGATCTTGCCATTCAGAGGTAGCGAAGGCTGTTATTAAATATCGGCGTGCATGTCTTTTACATTACAAATACCTACCATACAACCTGCTTATGATTGGAACTACTTGAAGATGTAGTTGACCTTTTCGTTAGGGGGGAGATATACTGCGTATTTGTACGATTAGATTCACTTTTGTGACGCTGTCAAAGTCAACTTTGACAAACTTTGAGCCTAATGTTAAAATCACAACAACGAAGGTACCTAAAATAAATGCGCAATATGCATAAATTTAAATAATTGTAATTGTCACTATGTACTATAAGACAGTTTTGGGTACGCTCTCAATTATGCAACAGCAATACTGTAATCTAAGTATGGATACAAACTCCTTCCAATAATATATTTGCTAAAATTATTTATTAAAATATTATTCTGATCATTTTGCACTGCAAAAACCCATTAAAGTAAATACACGCCTTGGAACTCAAAAATTAATGGCTACACCACTTGATACCAGCAGACACTCGAACGATGGGTTCCAAGACTTTTTGAGCAAAGATGAGGAGCATGATATGCTATTTACACAAGAGAGTGTAGCACTGGAACGTCGAATGCAGACGGTAAGTCATTAACAGGTCTTTTACATTTATTTGTGGGATGGCATAATTGTAATTTATAATCTTATAATTTCATAATCAATTAATTAATTGTTAATTAGTTGGGTCTTCGAGACGGTCTCGAGCTTGGCAAGGAAGAAATGCTTCAAGAAGGTTTTGATCGAGGTTTTATTCAAGGAGCAACACGTAGTTTTTATTATGGAAGACTTCGAGGGGCATTGGAAACGGCAAGGGCCTGTGGTCTTTTTGACTCGATCATGATGACGCAAGCACAAACGTGCATGTCCCAGTTAAAATCACTTGAGATGGACACTACTACAAATAAGGTCCACAATGATCTTGTTACAGCATGCGAAGTAAAGGCGAAAGATTTATTAACGAGCATTGGAATCGACGTATCGACGTTTTCACACTGAAATCTGTTGACGCAATTAGTAGCTTTGTCATGGGGATTTGTTACGTGCTCTAGCAGTAGAACATGTCAACGGGGTTTCCAGCTTATTTGAAAGCTTTGCGTGCTGTCTCGAGGTCATTTGCGGTTCTTTTTTGTGGTGTTGCGTTCTTGGCAATGTCAAAGTGTCGTGACAGGTGTGCGATGGTGTTGAAAAGCTCTGCAGGTGTGCGTTCCAGCACTAGACTGTTGTTTGCTGAATATTAGCATGTCCCGAATCGCCTGCAGATCTGCCACTGGACCTCTGGGCTAGCTGATTGAGATCGATAACCGGTAGGTAGCTTGTCAAATCGCTAGCCGTTCTTACGTCTCAAGATTAGCGTGAAGATGTCTTCAAATAAAGCTAGCGTCGCTGATAGACCCTATTCTTATGGCCTAAGTTACTTGTAGCATGACTCACTTGGTTCAGGTCAGGAAGGAGCATGTAGAGACCAGTATCTGCTATGCAGAACCATGTCTTGTGCTTTGTTCTTTACTGAAGCTTGCCGTGAACAAAGTAGCACAGAATTTTGTAAGAAAATCGACTTTCACGCTGGCAATATGTCATTACTGACGGCTGTGCTGAAGATTCATGACAATCGCGTCTGCGTGTACTCACTAGCACTTAAATTAAGCCTTTTCATGGTCCTGAAACGTATAGGTGGGTGACTTACCATATCGTGCGTGCCTGAACATTGCCGATTGTGCGGTGAAGCTTTTGCTAGTTTCTTGAAGATCGTCAGCATGAATGAGTCATTTTGTAGCACAGCGTGAATGTTGCTGAACATGTACTTCACTTGTTACAGACGCAAACATAAGAAATGGGTTCACAGCTATTATGATGCTTTCATTAGCTGCGTCATGTGACCTCGACTTGAGCTTGTTATAGTAGCATATGTGTAGCTTGTCACCTTTGCCTCGAAAGTATGATCGTGCAACGCACAGTGCTGATGTGCATCGAATGCAACTAACATTATAAACGAGCTCATCTGCCAACAGATCGAATCGAATGTATGGTTGATACACGTCATCGACTCAGAATATGCTGTGTCTGCTTTTGCATTACGACTCCGATCGAATGCATTGTTCTGGATATATACGTTAGCGAAAAGGACGCAGACCAGTCGCTAGAATTGTTTTTATAATTTAGATACATTGCATGGATACCGACAGTATGTTGACATGTACATATGGTCCCCGTATAAGTAAGAAATCACACAATTGCACCATTTCAAAGCAAAGCAAGTGCGTTTGAAAAATGCGCTGTAGAGCAGTTTTTTTGGGAAGAACGAGGCGCGTGGATGTCGTCACGCATGAATAACGCGATGAAGGTGAAGAAAAAGGCAAGAGAGTTGCTAATCCCGCCAAACATTTGCCAGATTTATTGCGGTATTCTTTACCGAATCAGTGATATCATTACACAACTAAACTGGAATCGTATTACGGCAGGTCTATTGAAGGTTTAGACAGCGCTACTGAATAATTCTAGACTACGGTTGATAACCGGTACTTACCGACGAACGCGACAAAAGTGCAAAAATATCGTAAATTGCTAAAATTGTTGACGAATGACTACGAATGTTCTTCTTGTCGGACGTGGTATCAAAAGTATCCGGTTTTGCAATTTTCCAGCCCGCCCTATCATTTTTTTATCCAGCCCGTTTTTTTTATCTGAACATAAAAAACGGGTTTACCAAACCCACAGGTCGCAATCCCACCGGATAAATGTCGGCGGCGAAATCAGATTCACTTCAAGTTTGTGTCGCGCAGTCGACTGGATCTATCCCTTCCGTCACAAGTCCCCCCCTGCTTCTTCCGCGCCCTCCCCCTTACGCGCATCTATGGAGGATCAGGTGGTACTGGGATATGCTGCTGCTATTGGAGCTGTCTTCTTTTTTGGGACGTGCTACGTGCCAGCAAAGACGTACGCGACCTACGGTGAGCTGTTATCCTGTCTATCATTTTATTGTGACTCAACCTATAGATTCTAATGTATGGTGGTGTGGTACACGTAATCTGAATCTATGACAGATGGTATTATTTTCCAGTGGTTTATGGTACAGCCAATAGGAATTAGTATCTTTTTGAATGTATAAAGCCATGAGTGATCAATCTAATTGTGTATGTTACAGTGCTCGGGTATCTTAATGGTAGGCATCGCATGGGGTCTCATGAGCAACAATTGGGCGCAGTTTTCCCACTCAGGCATGTTTACATTTCCAGAAGGACTACTAGGCGGATCTTTGTTTGCTATTGCAAACTTGCTGATCCCTACGGTGGTCAACACGCTCGGGTTGGGCGTGGGCTTTATGCTCTGGAACGCTACGAACATTACGCTGGGCTACTGCGTCTCTAGACTTGGACTCTTTGGTATGGCACCCACCATCCCATCCATGCCTTGGATCAGTCTGTTGGGCATCGCCTTCATGCTGGCGTCCATCGCGGTCTACGGCACCATCAAGCCGACGCTGAAAGCAGCAAAGAAGGCCAAGAAAGTCAAAAGCCACAAAATTGTAGAGGACGGGGATGTGCAGGAATCTGACCATAAGGTGCATTGGGAAAGCGTTGACAGCAACAATAGCTTGAACAGCTCTGTTGGAGAAAGCTCGCCGTTGCTGCCACAATTCTCGCATGACGCGGATCTTGCGGATGTGTCTTTGGTTCGACGTGAGTCACTTCATGAAGCACTCATGCATCCGGAGCTGCCAAATTTTGGGCCATACATGATGCCGAACGAATTGGGGGAACGCGTGGCATTAATGAACGCGGGCGCTGAGAAAACGCGCAAGGTTTTTGGTATGGCGGTTGCACTGCTAGTGGGCGCTTTTTTTGAGCTGCTGCCTTGTGCCGTTCGTTAATTGGAAGGAGCGCTGTCGTCCATCCAATCCTGCCCTCAGCAGCCCTATCGTGGAGACATGCAACCCACTGAACTTTGTATTCTCGCAGTGTTTGGGTATCTACTTGACCAGCACCATCATTTTCCTGCTCTACTCACTCTTCCACCGATTCGTGCTGAAGCGTTCGATGCCTCGAAGTGTGATGCGCCCAGCTTACATCTGCGGTGTGCTGTGGGGAATTGGACTGTGTGGCCAGCTGTACGCTATTGGTGCATTAGGTTTTGACCAGATCTTTCCTATCTGCTCTATCGGCCCCGCCATGGTCTCAATGCTCTGGTCAGCTGGCTATTTCAAAGAAATTCAAGGCAAGAAAAACCTCTACACGTTGGCGCTAGGCACGGTCTTGGTTCTCATTGGCACGGGACTGCGCGCTATCTCTGTGTAAAACAAGCAAAAAATTGCTGCAACTGTAATAGAGTTAACTACATGCAGGCTTTACACCGAGCTACAGCTCTTTTCTTTGTGTCATAGATCTTGCTTAAAGCACGCAACCTCGCATGGGATTGACCACGGCATCACGGAGCAAGGTAAACCAGATCAAGAGTGACAACACCCATGAACGTCGACTACTGTCGCAGGCCAATCGTCAAGCACGTTTCATTACTGCTTCTACAGGTGTATTCACCCAAAAATTTGTACTTCGGTAATACCGGATGCTACTGAGACACCACATTCATGCAAAAAGAAGAGTAGACACTCACGGCGTCAGAAGCACGTCAGTCACTACTTGGTATCGTTGCTACTTTTCCAGCTTCATGTAATGCGACACTACAAGTGTTGCATTCAACTAACTATCACGTTCATTCATCTCATTGTTGTCACAACGCGTTTGACATAAGCAAGTAGTTGACGTTGTGTACATTTTGTGTTAACTAGCCACGTGGCTATAGAGATCATAGAAAACCCCGTCCTACCGTCAATCGCAAGATGCAGATATTAATATGTGTGTATACTTTATATAAAATGTAAAGGTTAATTTGGTATTTACACCATTGTGCAATAACCTAGCTGATCTTATATCCTGTATAACTAGTATATTTACCATTCCCAGCTCTTATCCGTCGTTGTCGTCCGAATTCGTACTTTATCTATTTTGATCAATGTACACGTGGCGATCCGACCTGGTGTAGCGGTTGATTGAAGGTTCACTGAATTGGCATTCTAGAATTTGCATTGCTATAAGCAAGAGCCTTCCTGACCATCACTCTGATACTTATCAAGATGTTACCAAAACTAGTAGTAGCATTAGCTGCTGTCGCTGCGACAGTCGCCCATGCGAAGACGATTTTCCGTGAGACGTTTGACGACGATGAGTGGGAAAGCCGTTGGATCTCATCGACATGGAAACCTGCGTCGGAAGTAGGCAAGTTTGAGCAGGTGACGGGCAAGTACTATATAAATGAAGATGACAAGGCGATTAAGACTAGTGAAGATGCACGATTTTATGCTCTTACGTCCAAGTTTAAACAGCCATTTAATAACAAGGGCAAGGACTTGTACCTTTCGTATTTGGTCCAGCATGAGCAGAATTTGGACTGTGGTGGAGCGTACATTAAGCTCTTACCTGCTGATTTGGATCAGACGACGTTTGGTGGTGAGTCACCGTATGCAGTTATGTTTGGTCCAGACATTTGCGGTGTGACGAAGAAGACACACGCGATTCTTAACTATGCGCGTCCTGGCAAGGAAGCTGTGAACATGGACAACAAGGACACGATCCGTGCCGAGTCGGATTCAGATCCTCATCTGTATTCATTTGTGCTCAAGCAAGAAAATACGTACGAGGTTAAGATTGACGGCAAGAGCATTAAGAATGGCACACTGGCTGAGGATTGGCCGTTCCAGCCGGATAAGCAGATCAAGGACCCAGACCAATCGAAACCCAAGGATTGGGTCGACGAAAAACAAATTCCGGACCCGGAAGACAAGAAGCCAGCTGGCTACGACGACATTCCAAAGACCATTCCTGACCCGGACGCTGTAAAGCCTGAGGATTGGGATGATGAGGATGATGGAGAGTGGGAGCCAGCCATGATTGAAAACCCTGAATACGAGGGAGAGTGGAAGCCAAAGATGATTGACAATCCGGAGTACAAAGGCGAGTGGGAGCACCCGCTTGTGGACAATCCTGAGTACTTTGAAGACGAGTCGTTTTACAACGTAGTAAAGAACGTGGGTGCTATTGGTTTTGATTTGTGGCAAGTGGCAAGCGGCACTCTATTCGACGACATTTTGCTGACGGACAGCGAGGAAGAGTTCACTGTTCACGAGGATGCGGTGATGGAAAAGGTGGAGGCCATGTTGAAGAAGAAGAAAGAAATTCAGGATGAGGAGAAGAAGGAGGCGGAGGCCAAGGCTAAAGAAGAGGAGGCCAAGGCTAAAGAAGAGGAGGCCAAGGCGAAGGAAGCGGAAGATAATGAGGAAGCGGATGATACTGAGGAAGCGGATGACAAAGATGCATCCAAGGACAAGGAGAAGAAGGAAGAAACTGCTGAAGACGCGGAGGAGTCTGAGGTTGCTGACCAGGCCGAGAAGGACGAGTTGTAGACAGTTTAACTCGGAGGTAGCCGCTTTCTTGCTTTTTACTTTTTGTTTCTCCAGCGCGAGCAGCAAATACTACTGTAGTACACGTAAATTGCCAGTACGTTTTGTAGTATTTGGTGTATGAAGTATACAACGTGACCTAGAACAATGAAGCATCTCACACTTAACACCTGCATTACTAGCAAGTCAATTCGTCAAAATTTCTTGTCTATTTAATGACAAGTGTAACAAGACAGACGCCACCAATGAGCACGCAGTGTAGCGAAATGAAGACGAGAAAAACGTAGAACCACTTAATTGTACGTTCACCAACACATTTGCCCGTCCAAGGACAATGATGATCAAGCTACAAAGCATGAAACACATGACACAATCAGTCACAAACCTTCGACTACATTTTGTTCATACAGCAATTAGTATTAAACGTGCAGTACCTCTCTGATGCAAATGCCACAATCGGAGCAATGGGACGCGTTCAAAGGCCGTACAACTTCGCATTGTGCTGCATTTACAATTACATTAAAGTAAAATGAACCTTTTCCACTCCACGCTCAACCTCTACCATATTACACACATTTAGACAGACACAGACATACCACACACAATGCCTGTCTCAAGGTCCCCTCTAGCTTGATCAGCTACTTCGAGATCCTGGAACACCACGCCTGGATCACTGCACGCGACCATTGTAAAAGAGACTGTTGTAAGGCAAACGGACACGAGTAATGCCACTTCTACCCATAACATCAAATTTTTCATCAAGAAAAAGAACACAGGACCAATAGCGAGGCAGTATGTTACAAGCATACAGCCCGCATGCGGCCCAATGTGGCACGTTGTCGGAAAGTAACCGTAGCTTTGCGAGAGAGAGCATAATATGCGTGTGCGGCCATAACGCACACAACAGCGGCCATTGCGAGGTGGGGGAGATTTACTATACTTACTATTGGACTCGGTGCCGTCTATCAAATGTACGTCACTAGCCTGACGAGCTATCAGTTTTGTATTCGACCCCATTCTCACTAGTTTCTAGTCTCGACCTTTTCTTTCGTGATAATTCTGTGACTGATAATAATTACAACAGTGTCTACAAGTAAACACTGATTAGAAAGGGATATGTAAATACAACTAATTTGACATTTTATCCTTGTAGATTTATTTTTATTTGAATGACTTTTATATACGGGAGTCGGATTATATAATAAGAAAGAGTCTGTAACGAAGACAATTAACATGCATGTCTGTCTTCAACAAAGTACGAAACACTTGTTTTGCAGATATTAAACATTATAGTGCTCTAAAGATATTGCTTAGGACAATTGCATGCAATGCGGTTGTACGTAGGTCAAAGACAGTTCATTCATGAAGACTTTGACGACGAAAGTTGACGTGTCCTTTAGCGCATTGAACGTACGCTATGGTCATCTGTAGATTGTCACGAGGATGATCATTTATCTAACGATTCCGTGGCAAGGGCACGTCGACAGTTGCTACACACCAGCTCATAAAAGGTGTGGATCGCCCTGCTAAAAGACTTTCTTACTACTTACAACGAAAAGTGCGTCATACGCAGTGTGTTGACTACTTACACTGCTACCACCGCTCGTTTTGATTGATTGACTTACAGTGTGCTCTCATTGCTTTTGCGTGAAGACTCTTTGTCGATGAGAAGTGGCGCAAATTGTAGCTACAAACATTGCGACGACTTCTTGATCCTGTCAGTAACCGTCGAAAGGACGTCTAGCGGCAGTCACACTTCGAAAATGCCATTGCTCTTGCCCCAATCAGCACCGCACCAACTAAATGGGGCACGTGTGTACTATCGATTATCAGGGGCCGGATGCTTCCCAAGCTTCCACGAAATGCCAGTAGTAGCCATCACCCCGTTCCTTAGCGAGCTCTTCCTGTGTAATATCTTTGTAGTATGTCTTTACTCAACACCTTTGTGTCAAGGGCGATCAACTATTGTAGACGTGTCAGCTTCATACAAAAAGATTATTAATATTATTAGTGACAAAGCGAGGGCCTCGTTTAAAAGGCCCTATGCCTTCATCGCGTGCATTATCTTATATGGTATGAAGGGATGCCTACGCTATCTTATAGTTACCTAAACTTACCGGAAGGTAAGCGATAAAGTTAATGCGCTAAAAATGCTAGCAATCGATGTAAAGCACTATAGTTGCTTTTTAATCACTTATATGCGACTGAATTGGTCTTAGGTAGAGTCAAAGTGGTTTCAGCATGAGCAAGATACAAGCTGTCTAAATACCTAAATTTGTAAATAAAGTATAGCTTAAAACATATATAACTAAAATACATCCGATACTGTAGCTATTCGTATCTAACGCTAATAAGAAGCATTACTGACCCGTTTCTGTTATGCTATGCGGCGTGTAACTTAATTACAGCCCTATCAGCTCGAAAAAACAGATCATGCGACATGACTCTTCTGCACTAATGCTCACATCTTAATCACAAATCCATAGAAAAACAATGAGACGTAAGTTCTCGAAAAGAAGCGATTGTTGAGCATCAGATAGGCTGATCACATATGTTATTCAAACTGTCGCAATTCTGAAACCATAGGTTGCCTTTCTTAAGCGGCAGGACTAGGCCCGTCATAGAACAGTCACTTTTGCTGAAACTTGTTGATTGAATGGGTTTTTATCAGATACAAAGTCTGAGCAAGAATTAAAAACAGACAAAGCATCTTTCTTCTGCAGTGACAAACTCACCAGAAAAACGACAAGCATGTGCAACGCAAGGACAGTCTCGCCTCAAGAGCATTACATATAGTCATGTGAATTGCCATCCTATCAATCGTCGCACTGACGGTTGATTCAGAGCTGCTGGCGTCAACGCTGGCGTCAACGATGTTGCATTATCGGTTAGTACCACAGTGATTGCTTCGCAAAGAAGGTGTCTAGTTGAATCTGTATGTTAAAATTGAAATCGTCGATCTTGCCAAAAGCATGTCGTGTTTTGTACTTCGTCGCGATCATAATGAATCGATCTGAGCATGTGAGGTAAATGCTGTAAGAAAAAAGACAGACGTCTTGCCTCTGCAAGTATCTGCTTTGCAAAATACGTGGATCTTTCCCAGCTCAGCATTCGCCAATCATACAAGACCAAACTTGAATTTAAGGCATTGTAACGTTTCACGCTAGGAAATTCTTGACGAATTTCTTTGAAATCTCGTTTATTTCATGCAGGGGGTATCGCGCTTTCAATCATACTCAAATGCAGATGGTTTTGTTGCCTATCAATCAATCGAATCTAAAAACTTCATGCAAATTATGTTTTCCCATACTTTTATCTCAAACAAAACATAAGAGGATTTCAAGATCACGAAACTATTCACGGATCAGTAAAAGAACCAAAAAAGAGCCGGTTCAAGAATACACGACATCAGCTGGTCAGGTCAAATCAGTTGATCGTCGTCGTACTGGATGGACCCTCTCTACCATTAAACCACTCCATGGTCATTCTTCAATTTGCTTTGTAAAGAAGACACGCTTTGAACACCGAGACCTTTCGAAACTACCTTTTTTTCTTATTTCTCTCATGGTATTCAAGAGCTGCTTCTTCACTGCATGTGGTATTACACTTGTCATTGCTGATACTGGCAGTGATAGTCTGACCATGTCAGTAGGTACGAATGGAACCATCGTACAAGCAAAGACTGGTACGACTGAATTCATGGGGACTGAATACAATCCACACAAGTGTTTACTTCAGTTTTTAAGCTTAGAATGTGATGAGGATACGTGTGCTGAACTTAATGGATATCAGCTTGAATGTGTCTCTCAAGGTCTTCAGAATGGCAAAGAAAAGAAAATGTGCGAATGCAAGGACGATGACATGAATGTTTGTCAGAATTCAACAAACCCGACGGTGACATCGGGTACTGTCCCTCAATTTGGAGAATGCAGTGATCAACTTCAGTGTATTGATTCCTATGGCTACATTTCAACATCGAAAGAAGAAGGACCGATTTGTGCAGAGAAGTTACACTGTCTTCAAGAAGTTAACACGACGGCTACTGCACCGGCGTCTATTTGTCACACGTGCATGTCGTGTATTGCTCAAAATGATGCTGCAGAGAAGCAATTGGCTACCGCTAAACGCTTTAATTGTGCGACCATTTGCCCGAAAGAGATCCTTGATACTGTTAAGGAACGAAACGCTGCTGGAGTGGGTATTGCTGATTCGTTTGAGGTGACGCCCCCACCTTCTGGCTCGGAAGACGACCAGACTGGGTCAGGATCTGACGATGATGGACCGGGAACTGTCAGCAGTAGTGCTGCTGTGCCTCAAGTCAACCTTGCTGTTCTCCTATCTACTATTGTCGCGGTAGCTTTGATTGGAGCGATAAACTAAGATGAAGAGAGAGGAAGAGGAGATGAAAGAGAGAGGTACAATTCTTATCACTTGGTTTTAACGTTTATCATACAACGCTTTCTACTATATGCAAAATTGTTGAGATGCACAATGCACAAGCCAATATTGATTAATGTTATCGTAATGACAGGTGATTGAATATATAACCTCTGATATATGGCAAACGTCGTAAGCCGAACAAGTTTTTAGGCTCAGTCTTCATTGACAACACGCTGAATGAGCACAATAAGCAACAACCTTGACATCTTTTTAATGGGCTGCATTGAAAGCAGCTAAATTTGAGCAATGTGCAATTTACCTCTCACATCCTCCATCAAACGAGACTAATACGCACATCTATCGTCCACATCGGCAGATCCAACGCCTATCGATTGATGCCGTTGCCGTCTGTAAAGTCGATTGGAACATACAGGAGCGACTTCATATTGCTTCGTCCGAAAACTTTGCTGTATCACGATGTCTACATTACTATCCGTTGTCTAGCTCTCTGACTTTACGCATTCCATCGTTCATCACCAAATAAAACGACTAGTAGCTTTGTATTGCTACCATACGTCTGAAGGAACAAACCACATGCTTCTTACTTGCCAATGCATCTCTTGACGCCATAACTACCCATTCATGAACTTGATTGGGTCCTGGAGCATGGCTCCACATGTTAAAGACTGTATGTCTTTAGACAAGGAACACTATCTATTGAAAAAGCGCTTGATGCAGCATTTGAAACGTCTGCTCGATCACTTTTTTTCTTACATCATACCTTCCCCCTCGTATACCATGAACTGATTGTTATCAGCCAGCTTTATACATCACTTTACTTTCGTTATGACCACGCAGATCTGAAAACTGTCTAATTCGACTCATCAACATGAACATCTCTTCTGTAATCACGCTAAATACCCGACATAATCTACTCCATACTTCCAACAAACTCAGCATTAGCTTCTTCCAAATCTGATAGCTACACATAGCTTGTCATAAGAAGCTGGATCGACCTTGCATGCGGTTGGTTTGGCGACACAAACTAGACATTATAACATTGATTCCCAAGTAAAGTTGAACTCTATCTACTAGCATGTAACTTTTAAAAACTTGTGTTTCCTCTAGTCAAGATCAACGTGCCAGATATATCGCAATTGCAGGTTACAAAGCCTTAAAACGTACGAATGACATCTGAAAGCTCTCTGCTCGATTCTGCTCCAGCACCTGACAGCCTCCTTGTATCCTTGCGCTACAATGTTCATTCCTCATTTTACTCTTTGGCAATAACATTGACCTACTTTTCCCATCGACGATGTTCTCGAAAAACTTGATCTTAGCCGGCATTCTCACCGCAGGCCTCACGTCCGCCGATACCCTGCTCTCCACGCAGCACGAGGATACTACCTCCTCGTTGCCGGAATCTGTCGAAATCACCAACACTCGTAGCTTGAGAGCCATACCGGAACCGACCGAAATGGATGATGCTACGACCTGGACATCTCCGATGCACGAGACAAATCCTTCCGCTGCGTCGACACGAACTTACCGTATGAAGCCTTACAAAGGTACCGCTGGGTCACCGAAGTACGCTTCACAGTGCAACCACATCGGTCAAGAAGGAGGTGCTCAAGCTGCACATGGGTCTCAGTTGCTGAATCTCGATGTGATCGTGTCCCTAGGGGTTAACAGTATCCAAGCGTGTTGCAACGCGTGCGCCCGCACCAAGCTCTGCATTGCATTCACCTTCCGACCACTCCTGTGCGTGTTGGCACGTTTGAAGGACAACAAAGTGGAAGGTCAGCCTGGCTTGAATGATCTTTTGAGCCTGACTAATGTGTGAACTCGTTGAACATCAAGCTTTAGTACCATCGTTCGTAGCTGAAACGTGTCCGGTACATTGCGCGTCATAACACCGATGTACTAGAGGCTTGAGCACTACTCCAATCTTGTGGTGGGGCAAAGATAAATATATATATATGCGGATGTAGACGTATGTGTTGTTGGACCTGATGTTTTTCGATTACTGTCAGCAACCGAATGTGAACATCGTGGAATTTATAGGTCAGTGCATTGCTGGTGTAGCTGTATGCTGTAGTTGGCTGGCTATCCATAGTCATAGCAGGAGTGAGTCAAAAACAAGCTCACTTACAGGCACTGGAAGATTGGCGCAAGAGAAAGCGCTTTGTGACAACGGTTGAATCTACTGCACCATGAGCTGGAGTTGTTCTACCGTGGTTCACATCCATGTTATTTGTCCAGTCGCACCTCGATGTGATTTTTCATTCGTCTGGAGAAAGCCGCAAGCTTTCACTCAGAAAAAAACAGCGGAGATGCCCGGACAAGATCTAGATTCAACTTGCATAGTATATAGACAGGGTTTTCTGGCCATGTGTCGACGGACAAACTGCGATATTCCGTTTTTCTGCATCTTGTTGATCAAAGAATGCCAAATTTACGATCCAGTGCCTTTTGAAACGTGAGAACACCGTTAGAACATTAAAAACAAGCCACGCCTGCCTTCCTTGTTGGAACGTATTCGTACTATATTTTTTCAATATTACCCTGACATACGCGGTCAGATGTGTGGACAACCATCATTGTCAAGTTATATGAATCCATGCCACTCAATCCATGTCTGAAAGATTGCGCGAGTTGACCGGGTTTGAGGTCGGTACAAACATTCGTGCAAATACTCTTTCAATTCCACACACGTTTGCATTATTAGCCTTTCACTCACGACATCATATATTTGCTTCATCGACAAGTATGGAAAGTATCGCAGCTACAACCGACACATGACTAGCGTCCAGGCCGTCTTCCGAGCAGCTTTATACAAGCACTGAAGCCTGTTGTAAAGGTCGCGACTGTCACCACTTGACTCAGCAACTTTTGATTCTCGTGCGTGTGATTCGAATTGGTGGTAGTTTGAGTTCCACTGTCTCGCATTTGTTCCAAAGCGTTGAAACGTACGAATGACATCTGAAAGCTCTCTGCTCGATTCTGCTCCAGCACCTGACAGCCTCCTTGTATCCTTGCGCTACAATGTTCATTCCTCATTTTACTCTTTGGCAATAACATTGACCTACTTTTCCCATCGACGATGTTCTCGAAAAACTTGATCTTAGCCGGCATTCTCGCCGCAGGCCTTGCATCCGCCAATACCCTGCACAAGGATACTATCTACTCGTTGCCGGAATCTGTCGAAATCACCAACACTCGTAGCTTGAGAGCCATACCGGAACCGACCGAAATGGATGATGCTACGACCTGGACATCTCCGACGCACGAGACAAATCCTTCCGCTGCGTCGACACGAACTTACCGTATGAAGCCTTACAAAGGTACCGCTGGGTCACCGAAGTACGCTTCACAGTGCAACCACATCGGTCAAGAAGGAGGTGCTCAAGCTGCACATGGGTCTCAGTTGCTGAATCTCGATGTGATCGTGTCCCTAGGGGTTGACAGTATCCAAGCGTGTTGCAACGCGTGCGCCCGCACCAAGCTCTGCATCGCATTCACCTTCCGACCACTCTTGTGCGTGTTGGCACGTTTGAAGGACAACAAAGTGGAAGGTCAGCCTGGCTTGAATGATCTTTTGAGCCTGACTAATGTGTGAACTCGTTGAACATCAAGCTTTAGTACCATCGTTCGTAGCTGAAACGTGTCCGGTACATTGCGCGTCATAACACCGATGTACTAGAGGCTTGAGCACTACTCCAATCTTGTGGTGGGGCAAAGATAATATATATATATGCGGATGTAGACGTATGTGTTGTTGGACCTGATGTTTTTCGATTACTGTCAGCAACCGAATGTGAACATCGTGGAATTTATAGGTCAGTGCATTGCTGGTGTAGCTGTATGCTGTAGTTGGCTGGCTATCCATAGTCATAGCAGGAGTGAGTCAAAAACAAGCTCACTTACAGGCACTGGAAGATTGGCGCAAGAGAAAGCGCTTTGTGACAACGGTTGAATCTACTGCACCATGAGCTGGAGTTGTTCTACCGTGGTTCACATCCATGCTATTTGTCCAGTCGCACCTCGATGTGATTTTTCATTTGTCTGGAGAAAGCCGCAAGCTTTCACTCAGAAAAAAACAGCGGAGATGCCCGGACAAGATCTAGATTCAACTTGCATAGTATATAGACAGGGTTTTCTGGCCATGTGTCGACGGACAAACTGCGATATTCCGTTTTTCTGCATCTTGTTGATCAAAGAATGCCAAATTTACGATCCAGTGCCTTTTGAAACGTGAGAACACCGTTAGAACATTAAAAACAAGCCACGCCTGCCTTCCTTGTTGGAACGTATTCGTACTATATTTTTTCAATATTACCCTGACATACGCGGTCAGATGTGTGGACAACCATCATTGTCAAGTTATATGAATCCATGCCACTCAATCCATGTCTGAAAGAATTGCGCGAGTTGACCGGGTTTGAGGTCGGTACAAACATTCGTGCAAATACTCTTTCAATTCCACACACGTTTGCATTATTAGCCTTTCACTCACGACATCATATATTTGCTTTCATCGACAAGTATGGAAAGTATCGCAGCTACAACCGACACATGACTAGCGTCCAGGCCGTCTTCCGAGCAGCTTTATACAAGCACTGAAGCCTGTTGTAAAGGTCGCGACTGTCACCACTTGACTCAGCAACTTTTGATTCTCGTGCGTGTGATTCGAATTGGTGGTAGTTTGAGTTCCACTGTCTCGCATTTGTTCCAAAGCGTTGAAACGTACGAATGACATCTGAAAGCTCTCTGCTCGATTCTGCTCCAGCACCTGACAGCCTCCTTGTATCCTTGCGCTACAATGTTCATTCCTCATTTTACTCTTTGGCAATAACATTGACCTACTTTTCCCATCGACGATGTTCTCGAAAAACTTGATCTTAGCCGGCATTCTCGCCGCAGGCCTTGCGTCCGCCAATACCCTGCACAAGGATACTATCTACTCGTTGCCGGAATCTGTCGAAATCACCAACACTCGT